GCAAACTACTGGGCATGGACAGGGAGCAAACCCTATACTCTCTAGTTACCTAGTTGGGTCATGAAATGTCTGCAAGAAAACCGCCGAGAAACTTGCAAAGTAGGTTTCCACTTGTACAAAAGATTAGATAGAACCCATCTACTCCATTTATCAAAAGGGTAGAGTTAGTTCTTGTCGGGGACTGCCTGAATGTTTCTAAAGGATGACAACCAACACTTTCGCATTTCGTTTTTGTAAAATCTGTAACGAGGAACAGCATGTGTTAGGAAGCAGGAATCAAAATAAATTGAAATCGTTGCCTCTGGCAAAATGTCCATATGGTCAGTTTATAAGTCCTGTCCTAGTCCCAGGAGGGAATACTTTATTATTTACTAGCTTGATACATGTGCTTTGCTACGAAACTATGTGGTTGGACTTAGTTTTTGGGGAGGAAAATAAGGGGGGGAAATTCTGCCTCTGCCTACCATTCTGCCTATCCATCGGTATTCCTCTGGCTAGAGTCCTGTCAGTGTGTGAGAGTGTTGAAGGCTGTTTGGAAACTGAAAGAGTATTTGCTGTGTGAACAAGGAGACAGCAAGGAGCCTGGGCGTGGCTTAGCTCAACTGTTCTGCACTAAAGCTGCTTGATGCTGCTGTGAAACTGAAACTGAAACTCCTCTCCTCTGCTTGTGTTTTGCATTTGGAAGATATTCCTTTTTTTCAGGTGGGGAGGGGGAGTAGAACTCCTTAGCATCAATAATAATATAGGAAATACTCTAAATGCTCTGATAGTCATTTGGAAAAATCCTTTCTTAGTGAGCCCCTAGAAGCGAAGAGGCACATACAGGCCAATTTTGAAGTTTGTAGGCTTTACGGTTCTGGAGATTTTGTGATGATGCCTGAGTGGTATTGATGGGCTTTTATATACTGTATATAGATTATTGAACTACGAAACTCCGTCTCTTTTTTCCATTATCTTCTGTACTGCTCTGTTTGCCAAGGTAAGAAGTGCCCACTGGGAGTGTAGAGAGATATAATTACATTGTGCCGGTGGAAAATTTTAAGTTGTCGAAATGTGGCTTGGGAATAAATTAATAATCACTGTGCCAAACATCTGTACTCAGCTCTCTGCTTCTGACTTCGTTGTTTGTGAGGCACCCAGGATTACGTTGCACAAGATGGCTCCGTATATCTTTAATTAAATAATCAAATATAATCAGAAGATGGATTCTTCTTCCAAACTCTCTGCACCCATAGAATATGACAGGGAAAAACCGTTGGCTGGGCGATTCAATTTTTTTGTCAATACAGGTAGCCCTCAACTTACAACTGTTTGTTGATGGTTCGGAGTTACGACGGCACTGAAGGGACTTGTGACTGTTTTTCACACTTACGACCATTGCAGCCTCCTCCGTGTTCGTGTGATCCTAATTCAAAAGATTGGCAAGTGACTTGTATTTACGATGGTTGAAATGCCCACGTGATCCCCTTTTCCGCCCTTCTGACAAAGTCAAGGCAAATTCATTTTATAACCATGTTACTAAATTACCCAATGCAGCAATTCGCTTAACAACCGTGGCAGGGAAGGCCGTAACGTGGGGCCAAGCTCACTTCACACACATTTCACTTAGCAGCAGAAATGTTGGTCTCAGTTTTGGTCAAGGACTATCTCTATTTATACTTGTATTTCTTGCTATCTTGGGCCTTTGCTGTTGTGGCCCAGAGAGGAAGTTCATTTAAAAAAAAAAAAAAGTTGTCCTTGGGTCACGAGATCAAAATTCAGACTTTTGGAAACTGGTTCATATTTATGACGGTTGCAGTGTCCTGGGATCACGTGATCTGTTCTGACCCAGCTCCCCAAACATGACCAAGCCTCTGACGTGAACTCAAAAGATTCCTTTATTAGGAGTGCCGGCAACCCTGGCAAAAAGTTCCTCTCTCACTGCAGGATAACAAGTCCGTCCGGCAGGGAAGATGAATAGTTGTCTGCCACATCTGTCCATCTCCATCCCCTGCCTTTTATCCCCAGAGCCAGGGTGGGGCTTCGCTAGCAGAGTTGGCTCTTCTGTCCCAAGGACCGGCCCATAGATTTCCACTGCTCTCCTCTCCTCTGCCTTCTGCGCATCTGCACATCAGGCACTGGACCCGGCTGCTCCTCCTCTTCCTCATCAGCTACCTCCAGACCTGGGGACTGTTGACTCTCCATCTGAGGGCTGACGGATGGCCCAGGCTCTGCCTCTGTCTCTCTCTGTGTGTGTTGTGGTTTGCCGGGAACAGGTGAGGATGGCTGAGGCCTAGGAGAGCGAGGACTCTGATGAGGGGCCTGCATGTGATGCAGGGATGAGGCCAGGACCATCAGGGAGTGGAGTGCTGCCTTCGGAGATTGTGGAGGCTGGCAGCAGTGATGAAGAGGCCCCCGAGGAGCCTGTGCTCAGTGTACATGCGTGCAGGGCTGCTCGAAGGAAAGAGCAGCTGCAGCACATGGGCGACTCGGGAGTAAGGCTGCAAGGTAATGGCCCCTCCCTCAAGAGATAAAAGCCAGCTGAGAAACCGGAGTTCTTTGCAGGAAGCAAAGAAGTTTTTGCACTCAAGCCTTGTGGATGTTCGGATTCTCTTGGTTGGTGTTTGGAGACTTTTTGTGTTTGAACTATTTCTTGGCAACTTTATCTAGTGTTCTTGGCAGCCTTGCACCACCTTGGCAAGGCTCGTTCTGATCAGAGACAATGAACTTGAAACAGCCTTTTAACCGGGAAGGAACGGAATTCGTAAAGAATCATTAAAAGGTTTTGCTGTTACCTCCATTTGGTGTTGGTTTCCCTGGAACAAGGTTTGGGTCAGAACACTCTGCCAGCTTCAATCCCTCTTCCTCCCCGGAGCTCCCAGGTTGCCCTGATGCTGATTTGACTCCCACGCCTCCTCCTGCTCCTCTGATTCAGCTGTTGGAGGGGCCGGCAGCCAACAGGCCACAATATGATCCCCCTTTTTGCCGCCTTCTGATAATCAGCATCGATGGGGAAGCTGGATGGACTTAACAACCGTGTTGCTACCTTAACACCTGCAGTGATTTGCTTTACAACTACGGCAGGGAAGGTCGCAAAAAGTGGCCAAAATCCATTTCACGACCGTCTGACGGAGCTGTAGTTCAAGCCAGAGAAGTGACCTACAACTAAAACACGTATCGTATCGAGACTCATACAACAGCCACCCAATGTACGATCCAATTAATGACACAATTTGATAATACGTGGCTGGCGAGTCCTTTTATAACTGCAGGTCCGGAGATCCTCTTGGGGGCAGCAGGAAATTATCTGTTATCCATCTACTTAAATAGCTACTGAAAAAATATTAAAAGGCTGCCCCCTTCCAACCCATTTCCCCGGAAGGCGATTTACATTCGGTAGCTAATCAGGAGAAGGTGACTGTTTCTGCATTCTGAATGCTTCTCTGGGTTGCAGATCAGAGGAGAATTTTGCAATGAAAAATTGAATTTGGTCCGAGAGAGAAATTAAGAATGACTGGACTCAACTGTGATCGTTAAGTCAAGGACTACCTGCATTCATTAAAAGTATCTTTAATTTTCCGTATCACTGGGCACTGGATTAGATAATTAGGAGACTGGAGGCTAAAACATATGAAGAACGGTTGCAGGAACTGGGTAGGTCTACTCTAATGAAAAGGAGGACCAGGGTTGACATGGTGGCTGTGTTCCAATATCTGAGGAGTTGACACAAAGTAGAGGGAGTCCAGCTATTCTCCAAAGCACCAGAAAGCAAGACAAGAAGCAATGGGTGGAAACTAATCAAGGAAAGAAGCAACCTAGAACTAAGGAGAATTTTCCTGACAATTAGAACAATTAACCAGTGGAACTGCTTGCCTCCAGAAATTGTGGATGCTTCATCATGGGATGCTTTTAAGAAGAGATTGGACAACCATTTGTCTGAACTGCTATAGGGCAGTGGTGGCTAACCTTTTTGGGCTCCTGTGTCAAAAATTGTGCGCTTGCACGCGCGCCAGCACACACACCAGCACCCAGAAGGTACTGTGTGCGGCACCCCACACCCCCTGCGTATGTCTGTGCGATCCCCCCGCTGCCCCCTTACCTGCACTGCACTTCCCAGCTGATTTTCGGCCTGTTTCAGGCCTTTTTCAGCCTGCCAGAGGCTTGAGGGAAGCCTCTGCAGGCCAAAAAATGGGCCCGTTTCATCACTTCCGGTATTTCCGGAAATACAGGAAGTGATGAAACGGGCCTATTTCTTGGCCTGCAAAGGCTGCAGAGGCTTTCCTCAAGCCTCTGGTAGGCTGAAAAAGGCCAGAAAATCAGCTGGGAGGTGCATGCATGCGCAGTGAGGTAAGTTTGCCTGGAGCTCCTGTGCCATAGGTTCACCATCACGGCTATAGGGTTTCCTGCCTAAGCAGGGGGTTGGACTAGAAGACCTCCAAGGTCCCTTCTAACTCTGAAAAAAAGATGGAAATTAATCAAGGAGAGAAGCAACCTAGAACTAAGGAGGAATTTCCTAACAGAACAATTAATCAGTGGAACAACTTGCCTCGAGAAGTTGTGAATGCCCCAACACTGGAAGTTTCTAACAAGAGATTGGATAACCATTTGTCCGAAATGCTATAGGGTTTCCTGCTAAGCAAGGGGTTAGACTAGAAGACCTCCAAGGTACCTTCCAAAGCAGTTATTCTATTTCTTCGTTTTCTACTGCAGTCATCCATTGTCTTGAAAGAAGTCAAGATTTTCCCAAGCCTTTTGGCCAGGCCCCAAATAGTATCCAACTATTACTAAATTCTATCGAGGCCTGGTAGTGGTTCCCATTTTACACACAATCTTTTCTCTTCGGCTGACATTACATCCACTTTAAAAGACAAAATATTATCAACCCCGCTATAAATGGGAAACCTGAAACAAACCCAAAACCAAACACTTAGAAGCGAAATATACAGATTTAGTGGGAGAGAATGGAGTCCTGGAGATATAAGCAGGTGATCTGTATCTCCCAAGCCATTTTTGTCTAATGAGGTGAAAACATCTTTATTCCGCTAAAAGGATTACACCATGTTTAGCATCCCCTTTCCTTTGTGACGAAAGAAGTTCTTAACTCAGAACTGTTACGGTTAAAACGCTATTTTTCTAGGTGGCCTCCTTTCTGGGATTTTTGTGTGTGTGTTTTTTTCATTTTATCCTGTGATCTTCATGCTTCGTCATCCTCTGGCTGGTTTCTTTTCTGGTTTAAAAAACAAACAAACAGACAAAAATTTGGAGTGGGTATTTTATGGATTTATTCATAAAAAGCGTACTATTTTGTTATGTCAGTTTTACTCCAGGGGATATGGAAGGCACCAGGCTAGCAACTAGAAGTAGTGGGTTCTAGTTCCACTTTGACATGAAAGCCATCTGGGTGACTTTAGGCCAATCACCAGGAGACTGGGAGTAGTAGTCCCACCTTACCCATGAAAACCAGTTGAGTGACTTTGGGCCAATCACCAGGAGACTGTGAGTTCTAGTCCCGCCTTAGTCATGAAAGCCAACTGGGTGACTTTGGGCCAATCTTCAAGAGATTGGGAGTTCTAGTCCAACCTTAGGCATGAATGGATGACTTTGGCCAATCACCAGGAGACTATGAGTTCTAGTCCCGCCTTAGCCATGAGAGCAGTCCCTCTCTCTTAGCTGAACCCACCTCACAAAGTTGTTGTTGTGGGGAAAACAAGAGTAGGAAGGAGCATTATGTATATATTTACAGCCTTGAGTTGCTTATAAAAATAACAAAGTTGAGACATAAATTAATAAAGCAAAAAAATAATAAATAAATAACCACCACCACCACACGAAGGGGTTGGACTGAGGGAACATGACTCTCCCAAAACAGTCAAGGGACAGACCTGAACCTCCCTTCTCTTAACCCCATTTTCTGAACCATCCTAACAGCTTTGCACAGACTGAGAAATTTTAATGGATTTGTGGAGACATCAAGAAAAAAAAGCAATAAACAAACCGATAGTAAAATTAAGAATCAATAACCAAAATGATAGTTAGAAATCAAATGATATTTTTGATCAAGCCATATTGATGGACCACAAGGCATCGTTTATTATTTTACTAGGTCGATACCTGTGCTTCGCTACGAAACTATGTGGTCGGGCTTAGTTTTTGGGGAGGGAAATAAGGGTGGGGAATTCTGCCTCTGCCTACCAGCATCCATCAGTATTCATCTGGCTAGTGTCTTGCCAGTGTATCAGAGAGTTGAGGGCTGTTTGTAACGTGAAATATTATTTGCTGTGTGAGCAAGAAGGAGACAGCAAGGAGCCTGGGCATGGCTTAGCTCAACTGTTTTGTACTAATGCTGTTTGGTGCTGTGAAACTAAAACTGAAACTCCTCTCCTCTGCTTGTGTTTTGTGTTTGGAAGAGATTTCTTTTTTTCAGGTGGGGAGAGGGAGTAGAACTCCTTAGCATCAATAATATAGGAAATGCTCTGATGGTTATTTTGAAAAATCCTTTCTTAGTGAGCCCCTAGAAGCCAAGAGGAACATAAGTGCCAAATTTCAAGTTTGTAGGCTTTACGGTTCTGGAGATTTTGTGATGATGGGTGAAGGGCATTTCGCTTTTATGTATATAGATTAAATTTATTGGCTGTCCATCTTACCGCTGGGAGGTTTCCAATGTTAAAAAGGGTTAAAAAATTATACAAAACCTGTGCACAACACAAACTAAATACCATAAAGAGGTAATCAACTCCCACTTTCGGCTCCTAACATTGTAGAGTCGTGTGAGACCACAGGATGACTGATCAATTTTCGTAAAGGAACAATTTCTATACTAGAAAGAATTGGTAATTTTCTTGCTATGGTTCTTTCATCCATCCCTAAAAAGCCCCAGTAGGGAAGTTTGCAGCTTACATGGATAACACCCCAGGCCACCTCTTCATGTTTTAAGTTAAAATATCTATAGGCTAAATATTTAGTTCTACCCTCCAGAGGTTGTTTGCAGAATGCCTAAGCTTTTGCTGTCCTTTGATCAGAACTGGGGCTGTATAAATACACAAGTCACACTGTGTGACCACAAGCAATGGATGTTCCTTCATTGCAATGCATGAGATTGGATTTGTTTAAGGTTTCAGACCATTCATCATGGACTTCAACAACATAAAAGGGCTCCATAAAATCTTTTTTCCACTGAGGTTTCAATCTTGGCCAGTTCCAAGCCTCCCTTAGCTGTTGGTAAAAGCCAAACAGCTTAAGAAAATCACTCAACAGACTGAGGGAAAACTTGGTGGTTTTCTACTACACTTGATTTTCTGCAAATTCGTTTCCAACTTATTAGAGGGATAGAACTACAGATACTGTATTTCGGAGAGCTGAAAATGATTTGTGAAAAGGTGTGCATATCCGCCCCTACTTTCTCTCTAAGATGCATCCAAAAACATAAATTTTGCAACTGTTTGAAAGGTAAGTTGTTCCCCGGAAAAATTATTCAACTGACCTTAAAGATAATCAAGAGATTTGAATATATTTTTTCTAAAAGGCTAAGTTAGAAACGTTTAGATTGTGACAGGAACTTGCAAGGAAACTGATATATATCTATTTCCATCACAAAGTACAAATCTGATAAATTATATTAGTATTTCTCAACCGTGGCAGCTTTAAATTGTGTGGACTTCAATTCCCAGAATTCCCCAGCCAGTATGATGGGAGCTGAAGTCCAGACAAACTGACTGAGGAATTCTGGGAGTTGAAGTTCAGACAAGCTGACTGGG